ATTAGACTTTTAGGCCGGGCCGCGGTCTCGGTTGCTACCCTCGCCTAAGCGCGGGCGCTCCCGCGCTCCAAAACCCTTTAAATCTAACGGGCTGTCGCCCACAGCCGGGCACGCCCACCAGCAGCAGGACAACGGCAGCAAGCACAGCAGCAACAACAGCAAACACCGTGGAGGTGTTCATGTTCAGAAACACCGTGGAGGTGCATGGCCACACTGTGGAAGTGTGCATGTACAGTTTTCACGTTCGCAAACACCGTGGAGGTGTTCATGTTCAGCATTTGCAGTCTTCACGTTCGCAAACACCGTGGAGGTGTTCGTGCTCACAAGCACCGTGGAGGCATCCACGGCCACACTGTAGAAGAAACCCGGAACCTTACACCCTAAACTCTCAACAACAACCACAACAACAACCACAACAACAACAACAACAACAACAACAACAACAACAACAACAACAACAACAACAACAACAACAACAACAACAACAAACACAACAACAAACACAACAACAAACACAACAACAAACACAACAACAAACACAACAACAACAACAACAACAACAACAACAACAACAACAACAACAACAACAACAACAACAACAACAACAACAACAACAACAACAACAACCACAATAACCACAACAACCACAACCACAGCAACCACAACAACCACAACAACCACAACAACAACAACCACAACAACAACAACAACAACAACAACCACAACAACAACAACAACAACAACAACAACAACAACAACAACAACAACAACAACAACAACAACAACACCAAAAAGCAACAACAACCACAACAACAACAACAACAGCAACAACAACAACAACAACAACAACAACAACAACAACAACAACAACAACAACAACAACAACAACAACAACAACAACAACAACAACAACAACAACAACGACGACAACAACGACGCAAACACCGTGGAGGTGTTCATGTTCAGAAACACCGTGGAGGTGCATGGCCACACTTTGGAAGTGTGCATGTACAGTTTTCACGTTCGCAAACACCGTGGAGGTGTTCATGTGCATGATCGTCAGCACCTTACTCAGCCACCAGTTGAACATTAGACGTGCGGGCGCGCGTGCGCGTGTGCGCGCATGTCGAGTGCCATGTTATGGAGTTATGCCAGCATCCTTCGAAATCCTGCCGCCCGAAACCCTTTCCGGGGATGGGGGTGGGGATGGGGGTGGGGGGGTGGGGATGGGGGTGGGGATGGGATGGGGGTTGGGGATTGTTGGGGGGGTGGGGATGGGGGTGGGGGGGGGGTGGGGATGGGGCTGGGGAGGGGGTGGGGAAACGAAGCCTCGATGATGCGCACCCCAACAACAAACAACGGCGCACACGCGCGCGGGAACTGGTGCGTTTTCCGTGCGCGCCGTTCGCGCATGTCGAGTGCCATGTTATGGAGTTATGCCAGCATCCTTCGAAATCCTGCCGCCCGAAACCCTTTCCGGAGCCACTGATGCTGCTGACGCTCGCCCGCCGGGTCCCCAAAGAGAAACGAAGCCTCGATGATGCGCACCCTGGCCCCCCGCCCGGCCGCGCATCATGAGCATCAGCGGCTCCGGCCTCCAGGCATGCATGGCTTATAGGGGCATATGCCGGCCTCAAAACGTAAATGTCCGTAACAGCACGAAAACCACGGTATTTACAGCGATTTCTGTGTTTTCCAAGCTCTCAGCCGCATCCGAAACCCAAAACCCAACCCGCTGATGCTCATGATGCGCGCTCTTGTGGGGGTCCTTTGGGGTGGCCAATGCCACCCAAAAAACATCAACAACGCGTATTTGGCCAAAGTTGAAAAACCAGAGTCGATGATGCTCTCCGGGGTCGTTTTTGGGACCCCCCCATGGGGCGCCCAAAAAATGCGTCCAGGAGCCCAAATTCGGTGGGAAATAGCGCGTTTTTCGCGATAAAAATTGTACCTGAAACATGATGCCCTTCGGGAGCCGCATTTGGAGCCGGATGTTGGGGAGCCAACCGGGTCAGCGGCTTAACCCCCCCCCAGAATAGCTAAAGCTAGGGCTGGCGCCTAACGGCGTCGGACCACGGGCGTGCCCGGATTTAAGAGCCTCCGGCTCAAGCCGCCGACCCC